AACAACAATAAACAAACATTTTAAGATTGATTTCGTTGTAGAGTTAGAAATTTTATTAATTTTTCATACGAAAAGATGTTTCTTCTTTAAAGATTTCAGAGGTTATCATTATGGAAGCACTAATTGCATTTAAATGAATGTATGCATCATTAAAATAATGCTAATTATTTAATATTAATAAAAGAAATTGTGTCATTAAGAATTTAATATAATATAATATTTTATAGAAATATATCATTGTCACTTGTTAAGCTGTAACGAGTCTGTATCAATCTTCATTAAGATGATATATCAAGATAATGTGTTTTATAAGTAAGGCAAATTATCATTAAAAAAAAAATATATATATAGTGAAATAAGAAACAGGATATTGATTACATTGATAAAGCCTTTTATATATTAAATTTAAGTTTAATATTAATTAAACTGATACAAATTCAAGATAATAATTTCTTCTTGATAGCTTTAATAACTATGAACGTGATGCTTTATCTATCAAATCTATTTAAATAGTGAGCCAAGATCAGCAATCTACAGGTTGTAAGTTTATTTATTTTATATAAAAACATCCGTAAAACTTAATCTTCAAAGCTAATTTACACTGAAAATTATCATAAATTAATTATTAAATATTTATATTTATATGTCCGTATATTTTTCACATAATTTTAAGTAGCATCCTCATTCCATTCTTACTTCTGTCGAAATTTTCTTATTAAATTATGAATGGTAATTCTTAAATTAATCTTATCTTTAAATAATAATAAACTGCAGTCGAATCTCTAATAGAAACCACCTCCCAACGGCGGCCATTTTTTGGGGGGAAGAGAAGCAATTTACATATAGAATAACCTCCAAATAACGACAATTTTTTATGTTTCCGTTAGTCGTTAGTGTCCGTTGTTCGCGGGTTTAATTGTGTTTAAAATTTTAAGCGTTAAAACAATTTTTTCATTGTATAAAATATGTTCTTGTGTAAATTATTATAGGAAAAAACATCAGAAGGGCACATAACTCATCTCTGTACAACCTTTTAATCCGAATAAGTCAAGCAAACAGCACTCCTGCTCATATATTTTTACTAAACTTTATTTTTTTTTTACTATTTTTTTCCTACGTCGTGAAATATTCGTGTAGATAACTTTAAGATCGTAAAGACTTGGAAGGTATTTGAGGAATTTGTAAGAAAAATAAGCGTGGAAGTATGTAATTTTTTTCTTCTTCTTCTTTTATTTTTCTTTNTTAACATCTGACGAATGATCACCAAAGAGTTTCTTAAACACTCTCCGTTCTGTTTCATATTATATTATATATTTAATTAAAATAGATACGTAGTGAAAAAATCAAGTTTATAATATTTAGAATGTCGCGAGCGAAGAATTTTTAATCGAGTTACATAGATGTCAATTGTATTTTCGAATGTAACTCATTTCCTTCAGCAGGATAACTAACAGAAGCGACTAATGCACATGAATAATTTCATTATTACAGGAATGGTCGAAAGTAAGAAGTGCATTCCAAGCAAACAAAGCATTCTCTGAGCCTGTGATCTCGAACATTGTTCCCGACTTAAGTGGACCATATCATATTACTACAAGTACAACTAGATCTTCAGACAAAAACAAACCAGAACCCACACGATGGTGTAATCTGGTAGATAGGAAAAGCTGAATGTGTCTGCTATAAACGTCAAGACGGATTTGTTTCAAAATCTCAACCTTTTTATCCGTGTATTAATGACTAAATTACAAGTAATACATTGAATTTAATCTTTCTAAACTCTCATTTAAATATGACGATGACAGACGTCTGGGTGGATAAGTTTTGACGACATATAATACTTTTAAAGATTTTTAAAAAAAATTAAATTTTACGTTATTTTTTATCTTTTTTTTCTAAAGACGAATGTCGTGTTTTTAGCAGAAACACTTTTTTTAATTGAAGTCGGAGTAAACAAAGTGGTTATCTTAATTGGAGAGGAAAGGTTTTTAACAAGCACCTTACTACTTTATCGGCCATCATCTGATATGAGGCAAGCTGAGCGATGACAACTCTTGTCAGATTATGTCTTAGTAAACAGGTATGGGTGTAGGGGTCGATTCGATGACGGATTTCTGACGTCGTTCCAAATTCAAACCAATTACTGTATAATATTCTGAGAAGATTCTCTTACGAAATTATCACACCAATCGTCCACTTAACTAATCTATTTTATTTCCTGCTTTTATTTTTATTTTTTCTTGCCGTTTGTGGCACGATTTTAAAACTTTAAATATCCGAAATTTTAAATGAAAGAAGGTTTGAATACAGTGTAGGCCTATGATAGACTATATTTATATTTTGTTTTTAGTCTCTTCAGCTTCTATCAGACATCGAGAGAGGCCCGAACCTGCATTCTGAAGTCCCAGTATATTAATCAAAACCTAATTAATATACAAGAAATGCATTTGTTAAAATTTCCATTCCATTTTGGAGTCTTGTAAGGCCTCCCTGTTATTACAGAGAAGGCTAGCAAGGCCTGGGCCTTACAAGATTCTATTCTCATTAAGTTTTATGGTAGAAAATTAACTATTTAAATTAATATCTATTATGGTACATTGTCCTACAAAATTGTTAGAATATTTTCTAAGAATTATGATATACGATCCTTTAGATTTATTAAGAGTTAGGAAGGTTTTGTATTCGTTATATTTATATCTTCTAGATATAATAGAACTGTTGTGGTATCTGTTAAATGATATCGTATACACTTGTTATCAAATTTATTATGATATCAATCGTATTGGTATGTTATCCGTTACCCGCTCTGTCATTGTATCCGTTATTGTATCCGATGACTATAAACTAGTGCAGTTATATACAATTGTATACCTTAAACTATACAGTTATATATCTTAAATTAGTTATTTTCTTTAAATTTGTTATCAATTTTGATCCGTGATAGTCGAATTTCATCCTGACGAAGGTATCTGATACATTAACGTTAGATTTAACTACGTAAATAATTAAGTGCTCCAGAATTTAAGGGTGTTCTGGTGTATACGATGGAAAAAATTTAGCTTTTAAGGCATTCTTTCAATAAGCGAAGAATCCACAGACATTCTGTTGATTGCTTCGAATGATGGACTGTTGCCTGCAATAGATCCTATCGCTCGAATCGAGCGGAGTGACCTACAAGATCGTGTTACCCCGGCCACGGTTATGACCTCTCGACCCGATGGCGGGTTGAAAGGTCAAAGACAAACGGCAACGCCAGTTGGGACCATAGATCACGGCCCAACCCTTTCTTGCTTCTTACAGACAAATTTTTCGCATGTCTGTGCCTGATCAAATTGTTTTCGAGTGTGTAAGTGGACAAGGTACGAGGGGGAAACGTTACGTTCTTTCTACGTTGGGGGTCTTCTCGAACGTCTTTCGGGGGGTTCTGTGTAACGTCAGACTTCCCTACTTTGCTTTCCCTCGTGCCAATGAAACAACAGAGAACAGATAAGGATGGATCACAATGGGTGTTTAGAGAAAGACAAAGTCCAGCTTGTTCAGCTTGTGTAAAGATTAGAATTTTTTTTCTTTTCCCCTTGGTAAAGTTAACGTCTTCACACTATCATTTTCATTAATAAAATATCATTTCTCGTTTGAATATTTCTATTTTTTGTATTCGGTAAATTAAATAGGCCTATATTTTTAAAATAAATTCGACGTTATTTTTATTATATGTGTTTTGAAAATTAATTTTAAAATATTTAATTATTCCATGTATCAATAGATGGCGCAATTCTATTTTAATTTAAATCTAAACACTAAAATTAAGTTTTGAGTTTTCTTTTTATTATTAATAATTAAAATTTAAATTAAATTATTCGATTAGAAACTTAATTTTAGACTAATTTTTATTTTATATATTTTTTTTTATTATTTAAAACTGAAGTTTCATTTTGCTATGACCGTTTAACTATGGCTTATGTAAGGAGATCATCAAAATTAATTATTCCCAATAAATCATTCAACTTTATATATATATATATATATATATATAAATCATATTTAAGAACATTTAATTAGTAATTCTTAAAAAGCTTTTATATAATTTTCGACTGGAATATTAAATTTAAAATTTCCAAAATAATTCACCCTTTTATTTTAGCCATTTGTACGCTGTGTTATAGAAACTTATTAAAAATTTTATTCATAATTAACATCTGACGAATGATCACCAAAGAGTTTCTTAAACACTCTCCGTTCTGTTTCATATTATATTATATATTTAATTAAAATAGATACGTAGTGAAAAAATCAAGTTTATAATATTTAGAATGTCGCGAGCGAAGAATTTTTAATCGAGTTACATAGATGTCAATTGTATTTTCGAATGTAACTCATTTCCTTCAGCAGGATAACTAACAGAAGCGACTAATGCACATGAATAATTTCATTATTACAGGAATGGTCGAAAGTAAGAAGTGCATTCCAAGCAAACAAAGCATTCTCTGAGCCTGTGATCTCGAACATTGTTCCCGACTTAAGTGGACCATATCATATTACTACAAGTACAACTAGATCTTCAGACAAAAACAAACCAGAACCCACACGATGGTGTAATCTGGTAGATAGGAAAAGCTGAATGTGTCTGCTATAAACGTCAAGACGGATTTGTTTCAAAATCTCAACCTTTTTATCCGTGTATTAACGACTAAATTACAAGTAATACATTGAATTTAATCTTTCTAAACTCTCATTTAAATATGACGATGACAGACGTCTGGGTAGGACTCTTCGCTCGTAAGAATCGAAATTGCATCAATTTTTAAAAATAAAATAAAAAAATCTTTCTGTAAAATTTTTATATAATAAAATTACTTATTGATAGTATAATTATGAGCATTAATTATTTTAAAAATTTATTAATAAAATTTCCAAATATTAACTTTAATTTCCCGCTTATAAAAGTTAGTCCATACATTTAAAACGTGTTTTAATTCGATTTGATAATTTAATAATTATTATTATTATTATTTTTTGGATATTTTATTAATAGAATTAGCCAAAATTCGGATATTTAAACAATTTTTAATCATCAATACTACATAATTTACTACTTGAATATTGCTGATTATGAGATAGATAAATGGTCGCATTGAACAGCGATATTTAAAGCAATTATACATCCAAAATGCTAAACATAGGAAAGAGAGAGATATATATCAATTTAAAATCAACACAAATTATATTCTGATAATCGACAGAATTTAAAAAAAAAAAACAAAAAAATTCTCTGCATAAATGCCAATTCTTCTAAAATTGTCTTCTTCACAGCAAAGACGAATTTTCATAATTTTGTAATATGAGAATTTCACAAATTATAGGAACATAACTTCTAATTTATGTACATATTTTTACAATGAGAAAATTTCGATTTCGAAATTTAAAAGAAAAAAAAAATTCTTCGAATATTTTTTGGTACATTGGTGAAACTGGTAGCACTTCTTAGGAACCAATTTATCATTAAAATTGTCTTTATAGGAACTGTAATGTATATGTTTACTGAGTGGACGGAGCTGGACGATAAACAGAATCACAGAACGTACTTGATGTCGTAATAAGGAGGTGACTGTGGACAGATTGATTGAGCTGCACCACTCAAAGTTGTAACTGGAGGAAGACTAGTTGAGGTGGATGCGAATCCCTTTCTTTCCTGTTGATACCTCGTACCTGGCCATTGGACAGAATTACCTAGAAATAATATCATAAAAAAAATAAAATAAAATGAATAAAAATTCGTTACAACTAAGTTTGTTTTTTCATACTGAAAATCGTTTAAGTATAGTTTGTGCTGATGGAAAACAGCCAAAAAGTGCACCTGTAGTTATGTAAGAGCATTGTGTAGGAAGGATATTTTGCTTAGATGAAGGAGGAGAAGTGTAAGAGAGTCTCAGCTGGACACCCGGAGGCCACACGCGTTCACTCAGTTTTGCACGTGCATACAACAACTCCCTCTGCCCATAAAGTGTACTGATGGTAGTAAATGAGTATTATGGCGGTGCTGTAGTGTCGGTGACATGAAAAGAAATGACAGAACATGGCGCATCTGTTTTTGTGTATACAGCTTACTACTCTAAGCTTTAAAAATCGTCTCTTGTTATGTCACAACAGCAGCCCTGTTTTCCCGATTTTCTTTCGTTTGTTTTGATTTTACGTTACTTTATCTCTGCGAACATCTAGCGTACACGTTTTCACGTTTCTTAAATTTTAAAGTATTGATAGAAAAATTAATTATAAATCGTTATGCTGGCTCATCCCCTGATTTATTTTTCACAATATGATTATATTACATTTTATTTTAATGTGTCAAGTTCGTGTACTATATTTTTTATTCTAATTTTTTACTAATTCCTGCACTATAAAACGGTACTTTTCCCGCATATGTTTAGTATTACTGTCACTTCGGTACGTCCTAGAAATAAATAGTTTAATCATCTAAACAACCTAAATGGCTGTTTGACCCATTTTGGAAGTCGAATTTATAATTTTTTGGAGAAAATAATCTCAATTCTTCAGCTTACTTTCTGTTCTTTACACTTGATTAATGGAAGTCGAAGTATCGACAGGAAGTTAAGACGTTCGGAAAGACAAAAATTTCTTTCGGGGGTGCTGACATTAATCACATCACCATCGTCATCAATCAGTACTTGCAGCGATGTGGTTCCTAGCCACGAATTTTTCGGAACGATGGATTAATCGTTAATGGCTCACTTTAACGACAGAACTGATACAGAATTTTTTCCACTCCCCTTTTTCTTCTTATTCCTGTCAAAAAGTGGAACTTAATTGGTCTAGGAGCTAAGCAGACTTAAAGTCTGGAAATAAAACAGAGCACAGAGGAGATCTGGATGACTGACGGTAGTTTTTTTTTTCTTTCTTTCTTCTTTTTTTGTCTTCTTTATATCTTTTACTATTTTACGTTACATAGCTCTTTCTTAGAGATACGATCTGTCACTAAAGTGGATCAGTATGTTACATTAAAATGTGGCTCGAGTGTGGGCTTCGTAATCCTGCAACAAGGCAGTTTGTAAAGAGGAAAGTAGAGCCGTAAATCCGCTAACGTTTCGAAATTTATCAGAGGAATAAAGAAAAAGAAGAAGAAGAGGACGTAGACAAAGATGCTGTTAAGCTTTCTCCATCGGAGAGACGCATTATCGAACATTTCTCTAAGAGCTAGAAGAGGTTAAATATACGTTGCTGTCTCCTATATGCAAGACGTGGCGCCAAGCAGACAGATCGACTATATATCCCACACTTCAGTCATCTAGACTCGAAACACAACAATAACTTCCAGTATAACGGCGCAACGAATCTCAAGTGGTAATTCTAAGCCGTCCGGACATATAGTAAGTTTAGTCTTTTATGGTAGAAGCGCAGAGAATGAACGGTTGTGAGACGTACCGCTGCTCAGATTACGCGGGACCAATCATTTATGTCACTTAACCACTCCGACGATGACGTAGTGCACGTGCCACCAAAATAATGACGTCACCTCTTTTACTCCTTTTTGAGAAGGATAATGAACTCACTTCCGTTTTTTTCTTTCTTTCTTTTTTTTTTTGTTTGTTAATTTTTTAACTTTGAATAAAACTTCCTGCAATTACCGAAAGAGGAACAAATGGCTCTATCGGTGTTTGTTGATTTTTGATTGGTAATTAGCCAGTTACTAACACGAAAACTTTATATTTTTTTCAGTAAACGTATACCTAACAAAGCAACATAATCCATAACGAGAATTTAGGCTAATTTTTTTTTTATTGTTTAATTATTAAGGGTGTGACATTTTACGAACTTAATTGCAATACTATTACATAAGAATGTATAACATAATAGCTATACTGTATTTTCCAGTCGATAATGTAGTAGCTAGGTCAACAAACTATCAGCTATCGCATGACCATATATCTGTTGTAACTTGTAAGATTAAACTACAGATCAAAGTATTTTTTTATCCCCTTTAAAGACTATCAAAACTTGTCGGAGAATGCATTGCATAATCTGAGAAAAACGCGCTTCTTGTAATACTAAACTCGTTTCCAACGAAGCTATTTAGAGACATTTAAAAAAAAATTCTTAAATAATAAAAGCTTAACAAGCTTAATAATTACTCGAAAATCTTATCCGGAAACAATTAAACGTATATAAAAAGCGTTTAATTCTTTTAAGTTAAAAAAATTGGTGGCTTGGACTAGTGAAAACATCGACCTATATAGTAACTGTACACTTCTATAAATAGAACCATCCAGTTTCTAACATCTCGATTTCAGAGGATGATAAATAACGTGACAAGATAAGTCTAAAGGGTTTAGGTAAGAACTCGTACTGACCAACCAACATGGATGAGGATGATTATTTTCGTCTTTCCTTCCTTCTCTTAAGCAAACATCTTCATCCCGTCGTTTCTCATTAAATAGTCTCTTCTCAGCTACATCGTTCCGTAATTAGTCAGAGATGAGGAAGATATTTCGAACACTTCCTGCATCGTAATTCTAATCTTTGTTTTGTTTTTTTTTTTTTTTAATGGCGGCAGGTATATAATTAGCAAGTATTTTAAACAGTGTCCATTAGATAGTTTCTTAAAGCATTTTTCCATCATTTATATAATGTAGGAAAAGAGTCGTGCTATATTTTTCTTCCCATTCGTTACTGCAATGACAGCAGACCAGAGAGATAACTCACGGTTTGTACCGTACAGGCGCCCAAATGACGATTGTGACGTCACTGATGTGGAATATTGCCAGATTAGAACGTGACAGGAAGATAAAGCAGATGTCACGAGGTAATTTAAACCCGTGACAGATTCGTGAGGTATGGCCTGGTATGACAAAACCAATTTCGTAAACATTTCGTTGATTTTTTCGCACTTTACTTCGCAAACATTGCATTTACCAACGTGTAGATTTTTAACGCAGGAAGAAATGCAAGATTTTTATCATTTTTCTTATTTTTTCTATAAATTTAGATAAGAAAAAAATCTCCATTTTTACCATAAAACTATAGATAATGACATGGAATCGTCTCTGGTATTTTTATCTTGTCAATTAATGAAGCGATTCGGTTACAAACCATCTAAGGATTTCTCTATAGTAACATAATACTAGTGGATTACATTCGTCCATCCTATTTTTTGGATAGGTTTCAGATGAGTTTTTTAAGTGTTCTACGGTTAGAAAATCTAGATGAGGGGACGAAGAGGGGATTGTCGCTTGTCTCCTCGGAACCATCACCCTCTCGTCACCCACTTAGCGACATTACAGTCAGTGTTACTATTTTAGCTCCATCTTCCTCGACGATGAGTTTACAGTTTATCCAGACTCGCAAATGCTTTGAAGTCGTTCGATAATGTTTTTATCTGTCTTTTTGGCTTTATCAGCAATAAAACTTAAAGGTTATTATACTAAAGTCTGTGGTTTTGAAATAATTTACTCATTTCTTTAATGAGAAACGGGTACTTATAATGGTTTAAATTCACGAGAGAGTTGAAAGTTGTCCAGCATCATCGGATAGATAACACCTGCACTCTTATCTGGCACCAGGAAAGAATTTAAATGGCTTTCATACATTTTTTATATAATAATTTAGTAATTTAATTAATTATTTGTAATAAAATGTCTAAAATTTTCCTATTTATCAAGCAGAATATGAAGTAAAAATATCTAAGTTTGAAACATAATTTAGCAAAAATAATCGAATAAAATTTTTGTTTGTACTTCTGTTAAGTTAACGCGATTTAAAATTCATAAATTTAATTAAATTAATTCAATTAAAATTAATAAAACATAATCAAAAAGACGATTTTATATCAAGACAGTAATGTATTGCAGTGAAGCCGAACAATCTTATAATTCTTCAGCAAATTGTAACTTTTTATCGTTTTTATATCAAAGAATATAATCAATAAAATTAAATAAATAAAACATTTAAACAGTTATATATTTTCCAGATTGATATATATAATTTCTAGTATCAAAATTTTGTATTATTGAATTTTTCGTGTTACCGGGTTAGAATTCAACTTAGCCTAAATACCCAATGCTTTATAAAGACATTATTCGTGTTAACACAAGTTGTTAAGAAACATAAAGCTGTGTTTACATGATTCCTGCCAAGTAGCCAAGCTACATCCACAATTTACAGCAATAAGTTAGTCAAGAAGGTGTAAATTAGACTTAGTGTTAAAAAAGTAAAATTATAAACATTCCTACCAAAATTTTTACAGATATTCATCCTCTATAAAATAATACCCGAAGGAAATTATCATAGAATAATGTATTTTTTTTTTATAGATATAAATTCATTTTTAACACTTATTAAACTGAAATTATCATTACTCCTGTGTCTCTAAGCATCTATCATCTTCTCTATCATTAAATCTTCCTATAAAACTTTTAAAAATTTATTTAAATTATAAATTCTAAAACTAAAATTTAGTGCAGTGTATGTTTTCATACGAACTAAAATTGCTCTGAAAGTAATTTTAATAATATACGAACTTGGCCAGTTTAAAAAAAAAAAAGAAAAAAAATGCAATAAACGTTCTGTTCTATGCAATAAAATAAATCATGTGCAAGTTTTGACGCAACAAATTGGTTAAAAGACAAGGTCATGTGTCTGTCTACGCCCGGATGGACTTTGTACCACAGACTAGAATTAGCGCAGAACTTATCGACATCTGTTTGCCTATACAGATT